CAAACCCGGATATAAGAGAAACCCGGATATAAGAGAAACCCGGATATAAGAGACTTGTTCTCCGGCCCCAAAAACTCTCTTATATCCGGGTTACACTGTAAAACCTATTTTTACACTTTTATAATGCTTTTTACCTCGGTTTCGGTGTTAACTATTTGACCATAGCTGGGACCCGAACAGGTGCTACCACCCCAAGTCAGGGTGAACCTGAGAACACCAGCAATTAAGAAGTGGTTCCACGCTTTTCAAAACCTCCTTATTAGAGGCCTTGCTGTTGAACGTAGTTTATCGTCTTACCCTGGACGCGGATGTAGTTTATCGTCAAAGTATTAAGAAACAGAAAAACTTCGCTAGAAACAAAGAAAAAAAGTATAAGACTGTTACATGATATCAGTCCTCCTATAGAACAGTGAATGCTGGGCAATCTTATCAAAGATGAAGAAGCATCTTGAGATAACAGAAATATGGTTCTACAGAAGGATGCTGAGAATACCATAGACGGAACATGTGAGCAACAACAAACTTTTAGAGGAAATGGAAACAAAAAAAAAAAATACTTACAATCAGAAAAGACAGTTGAAATTTCTAGGGCATATAATGAGGAAAGTGGGCTTGGAAAATTTGATACTCAGAGGATACAATGAAAGTAGGATAGACAGAAGAAAACGGCGAATAACCTGTCTAACGAGTTTCTTTAAATGGTTGGCAGAGTAGAGATTAGGGGAGATAGGGAAAGGACAATTATTACTAAGAGCTACAAAGAAGAGGAACTTGTGGAAAGCCATGATCTCCTCATACGTGAATAAGAGACTTGAAGTAACAGAAATGTATTCCAAAAGGAGGATGCTGAGAATACCATGGACCAAGCATGTGAGCAACGACGAAAATTTAAGGGAAATTGAAATTTCTAGTGCACACAATGAGGAAAGAAGGCTTGGAACATTTAATACTCACATGACAGATTGAAGGTAAGAGAGATAGAGAAAAACAACGCATATCTTACCTAGCGAGCTTGTGTAAATGTAATGGCAGAACAGGGTTTAGGAGAGATAAGTGCAGGGCAGGAAACTGTGGAGCGCCATGATCGCCAATGTCCTAAAGGGAAGTAGCACGTAGAAGATTGATTTTCTTGTTTGCTTCTTGATATTTTAGTTTTAGTCCGAGAATTACAATGTTTTCAGAAAGTAACAGGTCTGTAAATTGTAAATTTTTTTTTTCTTTTTTTACGGATTTGGAGCACTAAATGACACATAAAATTATACCTATACTTTAAAAGGGTGCTCTTTGAAACTCAGGTGATATTTACCAGACTGAGGCTGACAAATCACCGAGAGGAAAAAAAAATGACCAATAGGAAAGTGACTTTAAATTTATTTCGTTCGTCTAATTAAACGATTTTGTCGCCTTCCAAAGCGAAGGAAATTGTTACAGTCATACTTGATTTGTTCTGGTTATTCCATATCTGGCTCAAATAAATGAATGCTCCAATTAACTTATGACCCAATTAACCGCTGAGTCAAGAAACCGAGTTCTGCTGCGTATGTATGTCTCAGGCTATTATGATCATGAGTCTGCATATATTTCTGATGTAAATGGCGAATGAAATAAGAATGGGAGGTAAACGAGATCTCGCTTATATTCTCGCGTGATTGTTGTTCACTGCACGTTACTTCTGGGCGCACTGATAATGTTTGATGAATATTTAACATAGGCAAGCTTGATGGGCACGGATTCTTGTTTGGCTAACGAAATGAAATTTTGGCCAAGTGTCTTCACAGATTAAAAAAAAAAAAAGAAAAGTAAAAGTAATAACTGTCAATAAATAAATTGCAACAAGCTGAATAAAATGAAAAAAAAATTGAAATACAAATATAAGAAATAAAAAAAAAATCTGACGGGCGATTTTGTTATCTTTTCAACGCAGAATTTTTTTTCCATTAATTTTGCAATTCATGACTTGAAATATTTTATTTCGAATTTATTTATTTATTTATATCCTTGCTTTTCCTGCTTTTTTTTTTAATTCAGATATTTAAATTTTTTTATTTTTTATTTTACAAGCGAGAAACTTAAAATTATTTTAAGTCTTTTTTTTTTCTTAAATTGCCATAATTTATTTCCTTATTCAATATTATATTTTGCATATTATATATCGATTTAAAAAAAAATGTTTTTTTGAATATTACAGATAAATCGGGCTGGGTAATTCGTGAGCATTTCGTCTATAAGACGCGCGTTCAAATCACACCATTTGGCATGGTTACAATCACTTACTAACATTTGACGATCCCAGTGTGAGTCACTGTTTGGAAGTTTTCTTTTTAATGATTTTATAGCAAGAAAGCCAATAAAGCCATCAAAATTCAAGGGGAATGTGAGAGAATATGAGAAAAAAAAACACTCTTAAGGAGAAAGAACAATGAAAGAACAGGAATTAAGTAGGCAAGATGACGATTATCTGGAAAGCAAGCAGGCGAAAGAAGTGAAAGCGATAAGTGAAAGAGAGAAAAGTGTTAGCATAGAACTTACAGTTATATGTAGTAGTTGCAGCTGTAAGTGGATGAGACCTAACCGCCAATCTAGTAGTAAAATATAATAATAGAATCTTTGATTAATAAAGTTAAGATACAAAAGAAGAAAGCTCATCGTGTGACTGAAAACCATGCCAAGAGGTGACTTGGGTTTTGTGAGTGAAACTGAGTAGATTAATTATTGTGCTAACACGAAGTCACAAGTCATCGTGACAGAGTTTTGAGGGTACCGGCATTATTGATCCCCCAGATTATGTATTTTCAGAACTAATGTCCATTTAGCCTAGTGGCAGTATAAACTACAAGTTGGTTCTCTGAGTGCTGATCAAGCACAAATGTGTCCGAGCAGGCGTCCGCAAGAAGGATTAGCTTGCCACCCTAGCTGACAGGCGTATTTGGAAAATGCTAGCATATTTCATCATGCATATTCGATGTTATTAAAAAGCATAATTTTATACATATTTCTTTTTCTTTCAGATTTTTAATGTTATTTCAAAATTGTATTTTGTATTTTTTTAAATCTTTTCTGTGTTTATTTTTTCGATCTAAAATTTTTTAGTTTGACCTATTTTTTTCCCTCATTTACAGCTTTTTTCTTTTTATTAATTAAAAAATTCTATTAGTTTTATTGGGTGACATATTTTTTCCTTGAACATAATTTTTGAATTTTTAAAAATTTTATCAAAAAAAAAAAAAAAAAAGGAAGAAGTTTTATTTCTTCTCCAATAAAAAGAATTAAAATACCAAGTTTTCAAAAGCTTCATTAGTCTGCTGTCTCCAGAGATTGTAAGAGAGTTAGTGCTGCTTAGTAATTGTTGACAGGGCTTATTAGTCACTACATTTGTATTATTGGTGCGTGCGTTAGTTCTTTAGTCGACTCAGTCAGTGGATGGGTGGTTAGTGCTGAACGTCAGAACTGACCGGATAAATAGGATCTCCTTGGGGCCCCGGGAGAATCCTACATTGACAAGTGAAGATCCGAGCTCAGGTTTTGATGAGCAAACAAAATAAGAATAAATAAATAAAAATAAAAAATCGTGGAAAATCAAATAAAATGATCAGAAATAGAAAAAAAAAATAATTGGAAAAAAAATCATGCTTAGGTTGTGTTTTATTTTATTCGCTGCTCAAGACTATCGGTTTTATTATCTCCCTTTCTTCCCATTATTGTCGTAAGATATTTATCAAGCTAAGTTTAGTAAGGTACGTGTAAAAACTGTGATAGAATCGCGCTAGAAAGAAATGCAGTACGTGAAGCGGGTATGCTTATAAAAACAGTATTCGAAATCGTGGAACATACTTTGACACGGTGGGGTAATGGATAGCGGCTAGGATTAAGGAAATGGAGAGCCGTGTTCAAATTTCAGACGGATCACTTACGAGAGAAAATTCACTTACTTGGGAAAGATATTAATCCTGAGCTATGGACAAATAGCAGTATAGACGGGGTTCTATAGATTTGGGTGGCAACCGGTTTAGGAGAAAGTATCTGCGTATTCAAAATTTTACGTATCCCTGGCGTAGTTAAAAAATCGGTGTTAGAGTCCCTAAGGCAGTTAATCGCTGATTTGAGCCTCGTTCTCCTTAGACGGCGCTTTTCCTTTGGAGAGGGGAGAAATGCTGCATGGGCAATATCTTGTCCTCCATAACATCAGGTTTGATCCTACCTTACAGATGGGTGGGTTCAATCGTCACTGATAACCGGCGGAAACCTACCTATTTACGCTGTTGGGAAGTCTCTAATTATATCAGCCATGAGACTAACTTCCAATTTCTATATAAAGTCGTACCTGAACACCAGAGGATATTTTCTAGCCATCGGTGGGATAAAATAACAGCAACCCACCTTAATTTTCTTGAACAGTATTATTACAATTTTCGATAGTGTTTTGACCTAAACCGCCCCAATTTTCCAAAGGATCTTTTCTAATTCTTCTTCTTGTTGAAAACTAAAAACTTTTCTTTCTTCCTCGAGATTTTTAATTCCCACTTCCGTCTTTTTCATCACTATCATTCATTTCTCTTCAACTTTCTCCTCTTTCGTCGTTTTTTTTTCTTCATTGTTAGTCTTTGATTTTCTCTGCTTTTTGTATTCTTTTTTGCTTTTTTTCCCTTAAACATTTTCCTCCTCGTTATCTTCTTGGAAATAGGTGCTGTAAGCTTGGATGTGCGGGTGGTGTAATGGATTGGAAATCGTAAAGCCAAGTTTCAATTCCAGTCGGGTTCATTATATTGAATTATATTGACGTAAATACCCTTGGGAAACGTATCTCTCCACCTCTTCTCCCTACTAGCTATGGGTTAATTAGTAGGACTTTATCATTAAATCATAGTTATCTCGAAAATTTTGTACAGTCTAAAAATATTTTTTTTTGCATTAAATAATCTGCAAAAGGTTGATAAGCCGTAAAAAATCGACCAATCAATCAATCCTTCTTCCTCGTCATCTACCAGTTTGTTTTTATTAAGTTTAATTCCTCTCCTTCTCCTCCTGTTTTCTTTCTTTTTTTCTTCTTACGTAACCCATATTCTTTTTTTTTTTAACTTTTCCTCCTCCTCATTTCTCAACACCTTCCTTTTCTTTTTTTTCCTTGCACATAATTACTTTTTCTTCGTTCTCACCTTTCCCAGACATCGTTTCTACACTATATTCATTCTCTTCCGCCTTTTCTTTTAAACCCTCTTTCTCTTTTTTCTCCAACTTTCCTTCCTTTTTCTTCTTTACTTGTAGACTCTCTTCATTTTTTCTTCATTTTTTTACACCTGCTTTCTTGTTTTCTTTTTTATACAATTCCTTTCTCGTTTTTTCTAGTTTGCACCTTCTTTGACATCTGAATTTCTTTTTTCTATCTATATATATACATATATTTCTCTTCCCTCTTTTCACTTCTTCCTCGTTTTTCTTTTTCCCTACAACCTCTTCCTTTTCCTCGTCCTCTTTCTTTTCCTTTTTGTTTTTCTCCTTCTCGCCTTCCTTGTTTTTCTTTCGCACTCACCTTCTTTTCTTTCCTTATTGCTCTTCTTTTTCTCTACATTCTCTTCTTTGACTTCCCCCTTCCCTTTTTCATTATTCTTCTTGTCTTCTACAACATTTCTTTCTTCTTCTTCATCCTCCTTTTCTTTTTTATCCTCTTTCGTTTTCTTCCTTCTCCCTTTCCTCGTCTGACTTCTTCTTATCTACACTCTCTTCTTTTTCTTTCTTCCTCGCACACACAAACACACACTCTCTCTCTCCACGTACTTTCTTGCCATCTTTTTTTTTCTTTCTTTCTCTTTTATTTTTTTCTTCTTTTATTCTGTGCCTTCTTTTTCTTTTTCATCTTTTCGCTACCCGACCTCGGCCTTTTCTTTCACCCTTTTATTTCCATTCTTTCTTCATTTCTTTTTTTATGTCTGCTTCGAAAAAAAAAAAATTAAAAACACGTTAAATATTTTTCGACCTCTTCTCTATCCACACAACCATTTCTATTTGCAACCAATGTACTAATTTAACGGTTTCCCAACAGAAGATGTTTTTTTCTTTTCTTTTTAATGGAGTATGTGCTTCATAATCACTCACCTAATTTGTCAAATATATTCTGCTTTTCCCCCCTTTTTTTTATATCTTTCCTTCTCGCTCTATCTTTTATGTCCTTTCTTTCTCTCATCGACTCGGTCCGCTTTTCTCAACGTCGTTCGACCTTTCCTTTGTTATTTCAATCTGCCTTACACATGCACAAACGTACATACACAGACTCAGACTTGCACACTCAGAAGCACATACATAGAGTCTCACAAACATACACGCAGTCACACATTCACAGACACACAAAATTAATCAATAGGCTATCAATTATAAAATACTGTTTGAGGATATTAGGAGCTGAGTGAAGGAAGAAAGGGATAGGGTAAGTGATGAGAGTAAAAAGAGAAAGAGTGAAGCAGATAAGGGGTGGAAGAAAGAAAGAGAGAAAAAGGGCTGAAAAGATAGAGAGGTAGAGCAAGATCATAAAAAAGGGGAATGAGGTAGGAAGAGAAAATGAATGCAGTAGAAAGAGAAAGAAAGTAAAAGAAAAAAAAATGGGTAAGGGATATCAAGAGAAAAATGAATAGTAAAAATGGTAGAGTTACTATGTATTATCGGTCCTCCAAGATGGCAGCGAATACTGGACGATCTTACCACAGATGAATATGAGGATGACGAGGGGCAACAGAAATGTGATTCTACAGAACTAAATGACTGAAGAAGGAAGAAAAGCAAAGAAAGAAAGAGAGATAAAAAGAAAATAAAGATGAAGATATTATTAAGGACAACTGAGCTAAAATGAAAGTGACAGAGAACAACAAAGAGAAAAAGAATAGAGAAGACGAGAAAATAAGAAAATACGAGAAGTGAAAAGATAGAAAGAGTGAGAGTATGAATTAATGAACAGAGAATAAAGTGAGAGGGTAAAAGAGAAAATTAATGGAAAAGAAGGAAGAGGGTATAGAGAAAGAGACAGAGAGTAATATATAACGAAAAGAAAGAGAATGATAAAAAAAAAAAGAAAGAGAGTACAAAATAAAGAACAGAGAAGAAAATGGGAGAGGGGGTCTAAAAGAGAAAATTAATGATAAAGTAGAAAAAAGCTAGAAAGAAAGAAAAAGATAGAAAGAAAAAAAGAAAAAGAGAATGAAAGAGAAAGTGAGAAAGATAGAAAAAAGCTGAAAGAGGAAAGCAAAGAATTATTGAATTTAAAAGAGAAAGTGAATGCAGAAAAAGAAAAGAATAGGAGAGAAAAAGGAAAAAAAGAGAGAAAGAGTGAAATAATGAATAACGGAAATATGTAAAAGAGAAGAGAGAGTGAGAAAAAATAAGGAGTATTAATAAATTGAGAAGACAGAAAAGTAATAAAAAAATGATAGTAAAATTAAGAGTAAAAATGAAAGAGAGAACGAAAGAAAATGAATAGCGAAGAAAGAGAAATTAACTTTTAGTAATGAGAGTAAAATAAACAGATTACAAAAAGAAAGTAAGTCTTTGCAATATGGCGGCTGCGTCCATTGGTATAGCTTCTTAGTCATGGGAGCTGGTAGCTTTATTCAAAAACTTAAAAATAATTAAAAAATTTGATTGAAATATTTTTTCTTCTATTTCATTTTCAGACGGTTCAAGAGAGCTTTTTATTTTATTTTTTTATTTTTAAATCGTGCGGAGTTTTTGTTAAAGTGCGGAGTTAGGAACCTTTAAATTTAATGGCGGTTTTGCATATTTAATTTTAAGAACAGTGGGATGTTTTTGGATTTAATCACCATAGCAAAAACCCGACATTGAAAGTTTGCTTCTCGTTTATTCATTGTGTTGCATGTATTTTTTTTTCTTTTCCTTTTTATCTTAGCTACAATTACTTGATGCCTAGAACGTCATCAGACACCACTTCCCTGACAGTAGTCGACGTTGGAGACCAAGTACATGACAGTAACTCGAATTCCATTTTTAAAAGAACCATTCTGTCCCCCATCTAAGCTGCTGGCACTAACCCATCTTCTTGTCCATAGAAAATCGTTGTATCCATAAACTTGAACCCAGTTGGTGGTTGAATTGTCTGATCTGCTAAAGTCTCGCCAGACCGATGACTTTGAGATTAGTTGCTGCATAAGATAGATCAGTTGTATTTTTTTCTTTACCTTACTGCAGCAGCATTCCAGATTCAGGGGGGAGGGAAGTAAGTCCCAGATTTTCCGACAATATTTAATTTAATTGTTTGACAATTTAATTGTTTGACATTTATTTGAATTGTTTCAAACGTTTTCTGCGGGCACATCTATTGTTGGAGCTGTTCCCGCCAGCAAGAAGTCCTTTATTATAAATATTTAAATATCTCGGAAATGTTTTAACCGAAAACAGAAAATGCGCCACCGAAATCCGAAGGCGAACTGGAATAGCGAAAGACGCCTTTCAAAAGATAAGCAAACTATTAAGAAATAGGAAAATTTCATGAGGAACAAAGAAAAGAGTATTGGACTGTTACATAATATCAGTCCTCCCATAGAGCAGTGAATATTGAACAATCTTATCACAGATGAAAAATAAGCTTAAGTAACAGAAAAGTGGTTCTACAGAAGGATGGTGAAAATACTGAATGCTGTTATTTTTTTTTTTTTTTTTACAAGAGACAGATTTGACCCCAAACGGAGCTTTGCTGTCATATCTGAGCTGGAGTTACTCCATCCTCATTTTCAAGTGTTCAGAACCGTTTACATGGCCTTTTGGGTGATGGATTATTTTCCACAGTAGAACCTCTTTCGCACAGAAGAAACGTCACAAGCATCACGGTACTCTATAGTTATTTCCACGGAAATATTTTGATGAGCATCATTCCTTCGTTCTACAAGTTCAGACCTTTACAGTTAAGACCCGTTACTTCTTTCCCTTTCTTACGCTCATACAAGACTACTCAGTAACCCTCTACATTGAATGGATCTTGGGTATTATATTGGGCGAACATCAGTAAAAAAAAAAAGAAAAAAAAGAAAAAATGTACCTCTTGGGATGACTCGAACTTAATTGAACCAGTAAAAGGGGGATTTACATTTTCATTCATAAGACATTCGATAACTTAACTACGAAATGTGTTCCAAGCCTTTTGTATCCAACATTCATAGCAAGCAGAAGAAAGGATAATTTTGTTTTAATTCATTTTCTGAGAAATATTTTGTTTTTCTACATAAATCTTCAGTTCCCTGTACCGATCCAGTATGCACCTGACTCCTCTCGCTGTCCGCTCCGTTTCAGTTATGTGACATGCGTGATACACGCTTAGGCGATCATGTATCTTTCGATACATGACTGACGAGTCAGATTTTTTCCCCGCAGTAGGTTGACTTTTCTGTGGTAGACCAGTTGCCTTCCATGGCTATAGAACCCGGTCCGTCCTGCTATTTACCCATAGCTGAGGGGAGATGAAGAGGATTCATACCTTTCCCAACGGTATTAGCGCGTAAGTGAATGTAATGGACTCGACTGGAATTCGAACTCGGCTCTCCAATTCCTCAATCCGAGCCGCTATCTATTTCTCCACCGTGCCTCCCATCCGCTACGTTTACAAGAGTCAAATCAGATAGAAAATGGATAAAAGCGGACAGAACGTGCCCAGTCTTCACTTTCCAGTCTCTAGGAAGTTCCAAAGTATCTTTGTCCCCATGATGAATTACTTTCCGTATATAAAATTCTTTTCCCACGGAAGAAACGACTTAATTATCTCACTGCTCGATCGCTATTTCCGTGGAAACTGTTTTAACGAGCAACATTACATCGTTCCACCAGTTCTGACCTTTACAGCTAAGACCTGTTATGCCACGTATAAAGGATCGAACCACCGTCATTCTCATTCCTTTCGTATTCATTAGAATTTTTAAGAAGTTTTATTCGGACAACTTGTTGCCAAGGACCGCTACTTTGTGGAACAGACTCCCGAGACGATGCTTTCTTGATCACAATAAGCTTTTCAAGTCTAGGGTCGATCGTTATTTACATACGTGAACTTCATACAATAAATCTCTTACTTGAGTGGCTCTTGGGACTTGTATTATGTGACCAACACTAAACAGACTCCCGAGACGATGCTTTCTTGATCACAATAAGCTTTTCAAGTGTAGGGTCGATCGTTATTTACATACGTGAACTTCATACAGTAAGTCTCCTACTTGAGTGGCTCTTGGGCCTTGTATTATGTGACCAACAGTGAACAGACTCCCGAGACGATGCTTTCTTGATCACAATAATCTTAAGCTTTTCAAGTGTAGGGTCGATTGTTATTTACATACGTGAACTTCATACAGTAAATCTCCTACTTGAGTGGTTCTTGGGACTTGTATATGTGACCAACACTAAACAGACAGATGCTTTCTTGATCACAATAAGCTTTTCAAGTCTAGGGTCGATCGTTATTTACATACGTGAACTTCATACAGTAAGTCTCCTACTTGAGTGGCTCTTTTGACCAACAGTGAACAGACTCCCGAGACGATGCTTTCTTGATCACAATAATCTTAAGCTTTTTCCAGTGTAGGGTCGATTGATTTACGAACTTATTTACTTGAGTGGCTCTTGGGAACTTGTGATACAGTACTCGATGCTTTCTTGATCCTAACTTTTTGAATGGCTCATACAGTAAGCTTGAGTGGCTCTTATATTATATGACCACCAACAGTGAACAGACTCCCGAGACGATGCTTTCTTGATCACAATAATCTTAAGCTTTTCAAGTGTAGGGTCGATTGTTATTTACATACGTGAACTTCATACAATACATCTCTTACTTGAGTGGCTCTTGGGACTTGTATTATGTGACCAACACTAAACAGACTCCTGAGACGATGCTTTCTTGATCACAATAATCTTAAGCTTTTCTAGGGCCGATCGTTATTTACATACGTGAACAGTAACTCTCATGGGGCCATGTATTATATAATCAGCCGTAAAATAAAAATAAAAAAATATTCCCATCATTAGCTAGATATTTATGTAATCAGATCATCGTTTTTCTTTTCTTCTGTTTTGTATGCGAGATCTGATAAAAAAACTTATCGGGACTATTGCGATGGTGACAGATCTGAACTACACGAAATGAAGTCCCTTGGCACAGGAGGACCTTGAACTCTGTCGTGTATACACCCTAAGCTATAACGTACTCACCCACTTCTGTTGTTTACTGCAGTGCTTGGAAGGAAAGTGTATAGAGTGTGGTCGTCTCAACATACCGGAGAAAACATTTTGAAAATGGTAATGACAGGCAACAATTCGTGGATCTCTGACTATAAGCCTTAAACTAAATGCACAGTCTTCGCAGTGGAAAACTTCAACCACTCCGAACCCGAAGAAAGCACGAATGAACCGAAAGAATGTGAAGACACCGTTGACAATTTCCTTCGACTAAAAGAGAGCTGCTGATTATGAGTCAGACAATAAAATAGTATTGCCATGACGTGTTGAGGCATTTTAGGGATGCTGTTCGTCAAGAAAAGGCCATTTCCCCAGGTTCGATAATCAACATAAGCTCCAGATCTGGTCCATTGCTACTCTTTCCTTTTTCCAAAAGTCAAATTTGACTTGAAATGAACAAGATTTCAAGACTTCGACGAAATCCAAGAGAATACAAAGAGGCAGCTGCTCGCTATCCCCCCCCCCAAAAAAATGAAGTTTCGGGTAAGCTTCCATTAATGTAAACGACGCTGTGTAGTTTCAGAACGGGACTACTTCGAAGGCGATTAAATGCCGAATTGATATAGATTGTAGTTTTCCCTTTATGGCAGCAGTACCAATATTTTTTGATCAGACCTCGTGGTTACTTGTACATACCTTTTTCCGTTTTCGTTTCTTTCCCAGTCTTTCCGCAATATTCATCTTTTTCTACTGATTATTTTAACTCGTGTATCATTCTATTTTTTCTTCTTTATTTTCTTCGCTTTTCAAATTCTTTCCTTTCTTCCTCCCTTCTTTCGTTCTTTATTTATTTATTTATTTATTTCTTCAATTATCAATTTCATTTTTGGCAATTCTGACAATCCTCCTGTCCGGAAGATATCTGCTTTTAACGGTGCTTTCAAGAAATACTTTAAACAAGAAAGGAAACAACATGGAGGTACGTGCTTCAGGTTCTTTCACAAAAAAGATGAGTTTATTGTTTTAGGTCGAATGGCAGAACACGAGTGATAGACCCTGTCATCAAATATCTATTCGCAGCAAAAGGCAAGTAAGGGTTCATCGGAAGGACGATGAAAGATTAAGGTGGCGCAGGAAAAAAAAAATCGTAAATCATAAATAAAACGGGGTACGTATGAATAACTCTTATTTAAAAAATAAGGTTGAGAAGAAAATAACAGAAACGCCATATATAGTACTAGAAAATGCATATAAATCTCTCTCTATATATATATAGAGATATATATATATCTATCTATCTATCTATCTATCTATATATATATATATATATATATATATATATATATATATATATAGATAGATAGATAGATAGATAGATAGAATGGATAACTTCGAGAAATCTATGACGGGGAAAAATTTCGTGGCCAAGCGGTAAGGCGCGCCGGGCTAAACAGTGGCTCCCTCTACCCTGAGGGAGGTAGGTTCGGTTTCTGTGCGTAAATGTTTCTAATAAAATCTCTCGAACATTCAGGCCGGTAACTGTAAATAAATAAATATATTGTTTAATAAATAAACGGAGCGCCTACTGAAATACAAGTAACCACTAAAAATAGCGTTTGCACACACACACACACACACACACACACACATATATATATATATATATATATATATATATATAGAGAGAGAGAGAGAGAGAGATAGAGTGAGAGAGAAAGAGAGAATTAGTGTATATGTAATAAATTCCAATAACCAAAAAATATTATTCTTAAAAAAGTGTTACATTCAACACCATCACTTGATAAGACACCAGAAGTGTTGAAACAAAATGGCTATTTTTGTAGTAATTTTATATCATATTTGTTATAATTTTCGAATAAATTATATATATATATATATATATATATATTGTCATCCACAAACAGACTGTTTCGCTGTATCACAGCTCATCATCTAGATGTCCGGTTGCCTCTAGCTAGGATCGAAACCCGATTGAAAAAACAGTTTACATTGCTACACAAAAGCATTCATGCTTCAATACTATGAGTGTACTTCGTCAGGCGATGGTAGACAACTTGACAAGTTACCTACCAACGCCTAACGAAGTACAATCATAGTATTGAAACATGAATGCTTTTGTGTAGTGATGTAAAATGTTTTTATTATAATCTATTATAATAAAAAAAATTATAATATTTTGCTCTACTTTGCATTTGAGCACTTTTTAAAAAAATAAATACTACGAAATGTGGAGTTTTACTCCAACGGTTCTGTCCTATATACATGCATATATGTGTGAGTGTGAGTGTGTGTGTGTATTCACTTACCGAGTCAAAAAGTAATGCACTTTGTTTCATTATATAAGAAATAAGGTACAAAATCAAATATATCGTACATCAAGATATAGCAATACATCACAGGTTCACATCTCTACTTCACAACATAACCACCATCTTTTTCAATGGCTGTGCCCCACCCACGATTGTGTGCATGGATCCCAGCTTCGTGAAACTCAGCTGGCTCCTGATTCCGTACAGTAGTTTTCACTTGTTCATCACTGCCCTAACGTTTGCCACTCGGTGCCTCTGTCGTTGAGCCAAAAATGTAAATCTACGAGTGCTAACTAATAGATATCGCAGCATTAAAGGGGAAAAACTGCAACTTGGTGAAATTACTGAATTTCCGCCAACCCCGAGAATTTTTCAGCCCCCCCCCCATATATATATATATATATATATATATATATATATATATATATATATGTATAATAAAATCTGGTAATTAGTATGGATAATTCCAAAGAGGATATAAATCCAAAGAGAGCACTTATGTTTGAAAAATGATTATTATTTTTGTTTTCGCTTGTGCCTGGATAAATTACTTCGTTTATTAATGTAGAATTGTTTGGTCTGATGAGACGAGAATGTTTGATCTCGCGAAATAAAATATTACCATGGATTTCTAAAGTCTCCGCTTTCATCATCATTTGGCATACGTAGCGGGCTTGGGCAGGTGAATGGCAGAGCGTGGCCTGGGGAGTTGGTAGAAACACAAAACCTGTTGCCAGCCACAAGGGATCGGTAGAAGTGGAGGACCATATTCGCTTACGTCCTGAAAGGAGACGGCACATAAAAAGAAAGAACATATGAAATATATATAAAGTTGAGACTAAAATCAACTCCGATCGGTGACAGTCTGTTTCATGCTTAAACGGAATCTTCCAGCCATATATATGAATGCATTTATGTATGTATGGAAGATTATATGAACAGCTGAAGATGACGAGTCTGACCATAATTTCGATTTAAAATTGCTACTTTAATTAAAAGCGAAAGTAATTTACGAAGGCAAAACGATATGGAAAGTGCACTAATTGCTTGCTAAGTTCTTGCAACATTTCACCTTTCTTAGCAGATCTGTTATCATAAAAACGATAAAAACAAAAAACAAAGCGTGAGAAAGTTCAATGAGATCCGCTTGACTGTGTTTAGATAGACACGTCTGATGAAAAAGAAGAAAAAAATTAAAATCAGATCTTAAAAATATCAAACTCATAATATAAAATTCAAAAATGTAAAAATCTGAAAAAAAAAATTTTAAAAAGAAAAATTAAATTCAACGTCTCCAGATCTTCATCGTTTCATCTCTGAGCATAATTATAACTGACATACATATAAAATATCATCCCTAAACCACTGCTTGAAAGGAAAGAGTGTACAGTGTGGCCATCGAATCACACCAAAGAAAACCTTATGAAAACAGTCATAATCGGTAATAACAATATGAGGAAAAGGAGAAATATTTTAGTCCAATTCAGTTCTGAAGGGCGAAACGTATGAATTTTTT